CAAATGAGTGACAGATGAGTGAGCAGAGGTAAAAGCAACTGACTTGAAAAATAATAGACCCATAGACACTCCACGGAGAGGGCTCAGATAAAGAGGTTTTCACTGTTTGGGAAATGCTTTCCTTCTTAGAAGTTACTAGAATATTAAAAGTACTGAGAAATTTTGTAATGAAGAAACACAAATAACTTTGTTTAATCATGATTTCTCAAGCCTTCTATGACCATCAAAACCTTTTCTTTTACAAATAACTCCTTAACTAAATGTGGCAAATGCTGCTTTAGACAGACTTTTTCTCTCTCTAAGTTATCTAAAGTTTACCAGCATTTGAGTTTGCTCTTTTCAAAGGGCTCTGTTTAGAGATCAGGGAAAAACTCGTAAATGTTTACTAACCTATCTCATTTCAAGTCCTAAGAACTGACACAAATCCAGTGACACACCAAATAAAGAATATCCTTTCTCAAATTGGCATGGCAAGATTAAGATTCTTATATAAAAATATTTTCCCAAGGATTTCATTATTGGGTTAAGAAAAAAGAAGAAAAAATGGGCATTTTTTTTTCTTACAAGTTGGGATTTTTGTTATTACTGACTTGAGATTAGAACCCGCAAGTATTTACTGAGACCAGTGTATACACTCAAGATGATTCTAGAACATGTAATAGATGTCGAAGGAAAATGATGAACGGTCACTGTTTTTGCTGCACTTACAGTTCAGCAAAACTAATATTAATAGAGAAAGGATAAATGCTCCAACAATATTCCCCAGAATGTGGCAATTGTGAGAATTAACCAGAAGAAGAAATCCATGAATTGGATAACGTGGGGAAGATTTCATGGTGTTAGTGGAACTTAAATATGACTGGAAAAATTGGGAGGAATTTTAAGAAGATAAGAGAATAGATGAAGTTCCAGGCAATTTTAAAAACTAGCTCTTGACAAGGGGCCTCTGGAAAAATTTCTTTTTCTTGGGCCTGAGCATTCCAGGAAAATGTTCCTGTATATGGAGAGTATCTTTGTTCATCAGACTTTCTTCAGAAATAGGTGAAGCTTGGAAACGTTAACTATAAAGTGCCTACTGCAAAGAAACTGTATGTCAGGAGTCTGAATTTAGATATTAATAGATATTAGATATTAATATAGTGATTATATATACTATAATATTTTTATTTCTTATAGTATATGAAATAGTATAGTAAATAATTATTAATTATTACTATATAATTGTTATGTATTATATACTATATAATACTGTATAATATACTAATATTACTATATATTAATTAATTGCTAATTAATTAATACATAGTAATCATTAGAATACTAATAATTAACACTAAGTTTTAATGTTTTATAATACTATATAATACTATAAAATATATTATATATAATACTATATATACTAATATTACTATATATTAATTAATTGCTAATTAATTAATATATGGTAATCATTAGAATACTAATAATTAACACTACGTTTTGATATAATAATATAATACTATATAATATATATTATTTAATATATTATATTATTATATATAATACTATTAATGTACTATTACTATACATTAATTAATTGCTAATTAATTAATATATAGTAATCATTAGAATACTAATAATCAACACTAAGTTTTAATATAATAATTTATAATAGTTACAAATAGATATTTGTATCTATTAATAACCCAATATCTAAATTAAATATCAAATATTTGAATACTTAATATCTATTACTAATACAATATCTAAATTTAGTGTCTAGTATTTGAAAAATAAGGGCGTAATTTTTTTTTATAAGGACAAGCAAATTATTTGTGTGCAGACAGCCCAATCCCAGAAGGTGAAATGGTTCTTAACTGTACAGCTAGTGCTCGACTTACGACCACGATTGGTTCCGACAGACCAGTCGTAACACAATTTGGTTATAAGTTGAGTAGGCTGTATGTATAGTACTGTGAAATGATGTTATAAAAATCTTTAAGTCATATTTTATCATAATTTTCTTTCATTATTGTTATATATCATAATTTTCTTTGTTCATTTTATGCCATTTGTATCATCTCTACACCATTTTGTTTCTTAGTTTTACATTCGTCAGGTTTAAGTAAAACACTGCATTACCAGTATAACTGGTTTAATATTTGCAAAACTTACAAAATTACAAAATACAGGTGCATACAAAAATACAAAATACAGGTGTAAAAAATACCATAGGAAACATTTTCCCAATTGCAAAGCATATCAAAATATATAAACATGTACGAAACATTTTATCGGCCGCTGGTGCTTGGCTGCGGATCGTTGATGTCGTCATCTGAGGCAGCAGTTGGAGTTACCAGGGTTGGTTTTTTCATAAACATGGTGAGCTTTGTCTGAACTGTATGTTTCTTTTTTTTCTTCATAAATTTCACGATATGGACGAAACACATCGTGCGCCATCTGTTCAATCCTCGCAAATCGTTCAATGTTTGGGTCCATGGCTTCAAAATGTATAAGAAGTTTATTGGGAGGGGTTTGATGAAAAATATCCAAGACACAAAACACAAACTGCTGTACCGAGTCTGGGATAACAGTTGAAATGGTGCACGCGGAGATGGTAGTGCTGCCGGAAGCTGGTCCGCACTGTCGTACGCCCAGCTGGGCAACGTTTGCGCTGTCAGACGCGGAGCAGTCGTGGCTAGCGATTGTGGTCGTAAAGTCGAATGATCATAAATTGCATAGGTCGTAAGTCGATCAATACCTGTAGTCAGATTGCAACACCTAGCTGACCTAATAGCCTAACAACCTGCCCTTTGGGGGCAGTAGGACAATGGAGTAGGAACTCCATCCTCATTGCCGAGACTTCATGGTATGGTGGATGTGCTTTTTCTTTCCCTGACTAGACAGGGTCTCCTTGGGACCCTGTGTGCTATTGGATGGAGATTGCTCCAACTTCTGTGCATTCAACACAAGCAGCTTTCAGCCTGAAGTACCGGGAAACTATAACCTGAGCTTTCCTCTTAACAGAGACCCTTTATCTCCTCCACACAGGAGCTTGGGAATACAGCAGTAGGCTTTAAAGCTTTCCTATCTTTCACCTATGCTTCTGGGTAAGATCTCACTCATTTAATAAGAAAAGACCCTGCTTCTCAGCTTCCCCCAGAAACCAGAAGGTAAACTGGAGAAAGAAAGACATTATCTCTCTCATCTTTCTCTGAAGCATCGGCAGGAGGTCCTGGCCTCACCGTTTCCCCACTGAGCATCTCTTTACTCACATTTCTCAAGTTTCTGTTCACTAGCCATCTTTCCACCACCCTCTCTTCTCCACTGCTTGGACCAAAACTTCACACACACACACACACACACACACACACACACACACACACAGAGCATACTAAGATTGATGGGTTCCACTGAAAACTGGTTCATGGCCCAGTGAAAGGCTGTTAGATGGTGGAATTCTCCAAGTGCCAAGAAACATCCCCCAGCTTACAGGCAGGAGACAGGACTCTTCACCTTTGACATCATTTCCACAGAGGCAGAACGGTGTGGTGAGGGCCTGAAATGAGACATATAAGTCACCAACACAATACTTGGAACACAGTTGGAGTTCATTAAATGATTCATCTTCTTCTTTTTATCATTATTTTTAGAATCCTCAAGTTGTGTTGACTCACCTGGGAACACTGCTGGCTCCAGAATTCCAAGCTTCAGTAATTTTATAAAATAAAATTAAAATACCAGAAGGATGTATTTGCAAACAAACTGTAGAGCTTTAAGATTATACAACAGTTAAGAAAGCATGAGGTGGGCGTATGTGTGCCAATAAGGAAGGGGTTTAAAAAGCAAGATGGAGAACAACATGAATAATATGATCACATTTTTGCTTTTAAAAACCAAAGTTCCATATAATACATAGCTATCACTTGGTAAGTTTTTAGTGTTTACCTGGCACTGTGCAAAGTGCTTTTAAAACCCTTATCTTGCCTAGGCATGATGGCTGATCCTTTTAATCCCAGTACTTTGGGAGTCCAAGGCAGGTGGATTACCTGAGGTCAGGAGTTTAAGGCCAGCCTGGCCCACGTGGTGAAACCCTGTCTCTACTAAAAATAAAAATAAATTAACCAGTGTAGTGGCATGCGCCTTTAGTCCAAGCTGCTCAGGAGGCTGAGGCAGGAGAATCCCTTGAACCTGGGAGGCAGAGATTATAGCGAGCCAAGATCAAACCACAGCACTCCAGCCTGGGCAACAGAGCAAGACCCCATCTCACAGAAAAACACAACAGCATCAAAATGTTAAAAATACCCAAAACCCTTATTTCCTTTCATGCTCACAGTGCTGAGAGAGTAGTGTTGTTGTCCATGTCATTTTATAAATGCAAAAATTGAGGCTTAGAGAGGTTAAATAACTTCCCCAGCATCGCACATTCAGGTAGTCTGATTCCAGAGCCTGTTCTAGAAGTCTTTATGTAACTTTAGTGTCCAAGCCTAGAAAAACACAGGGACGAACACACACCACTGTTGTCAGAGGTTACATCTGAAGAGAAGGGATGGACTGGAGGGAGGGGGGCAAGGTAAGTTAGAGACCTTTATTTCTTACTCTGAATTAATATATTGCTTCATTTATTTGCAACAAATATATATCACTTTAATAGTTAAAAAGACAGTCCTTTTCACAAAAGAGCAAATATATAATCTCACTTATATGAAATGTATAAAATAGGCAGATTCATAGAGACAGAAAATAGATTCAAGGTTCTAAAGGACTTGGGAGGGGGGAAATGAGGACTTAATGTTTAATAGGTACAGAATTTCTGCTTGGCATGATGAAAAGTTTTGAAAATAGTGACAATGGTTGCACAGCACTGAAAATGTAATTAATGTCACTGAATTATTAAAAATCGTTAAAATAGTGAATTTTATATTATGCATATTTTACCACAGAAAAGAAGAAGGAGGGGGAGGAGCAGACGGAGGAAGAAAAGGAGAGTAAGAAGAAAGAAGAGGAGGAGGAGGAGAAGGAGGAAGAAGAAGAGGAAGAGGAAGAAGAAGAAGAAGAAGAGGAGGAGCTTTGAATTGAATTAATTTGGTTATTGGAAAACTCACTCTATTTTCCTTCTTTTTCCCATTTTGCCTCTATGGTGCTGTGTCACGGAGGTGTGGCATCTCCAGTGGCTCACAGGGTCAGTGATATGTAACTACAGCTTCACCTATTTGGACATGTGATTGTATCACTATCCCTGAGTAGTGGAAGTTGCATCTGAGCACCAGCTCCTTTGCTTGCCTGTACGGCTTGAAGCCATATAATTGTGATTGACTCAGTGTTGGGCAGAGAGACTCCCCTTTATTTTTTAGAGTACCTTGGAGTGCTCTACAAGACCGGAGAGGCGGTGGGCACCGTCTCTGTGGAAAACATCTTACATTCCACATTTTTAAAAGGTGGGACTGGGTTAGGCTCTGGAGGTTTTATTTATATAAACAAGACCTTCATGTGGTGGATTAGAGAAGTAGGCAATTATTCATTCATCCATTCATCCATCCATCCATTCAGCCACCCATCCATCTATCTATCCATCCATCCCTATCTATCTACCTATCTATCCATCTGTATGTCCACTTTATTAAACAATCTGTAAAGAGCACCAACTATAAGCCAGACTTTTAGCCAAAAACTAAATATTAAGAGTCACGTTTTTGATAAGACTCTGTAAATCAACGTGGTGTAACAGCAAATTAATTAGAATAGGCATCCCAGATCACGGCTTCTTCTCCAATCATTTTTACTTACTTGCTGTGTGACTTTGGGCAAGTTCCTTCTCTTCTCTGAGCCTGTCAGGTGATCTCAAATTTGCACTCCAGCTCCCAAATGTGCTGATTCTTTTCATATAGCTAGTCTCAGGTGGTCCACAAATATTTTCGAATATGTCTACAAGTCTGTGGATGTGAGCAAGACACGCATAAATTGAAAGGTTGTGTCTTTATGTTCATGCCGGTAAAAACTGATAAGAATTGTTCCTGTCCCAGTCAGCATTTGAGTGCTTAATGTTGGTAGTGATGAAAATAACAGCAAAACATGAGCACTTGCACATATAGAAGGAATATATGATTATGATTTATGGAATTAAACTAAAAAATGGTTGTCCATCTGTGAAAAGATTTTATAAACACCAAATAGAAAAGCATGTTTAGCTACTCTACAGATGACATGAAGGAGTGCTTAATAATGGGTAAATATGCTTTTTTGCAGCATGCGTGTGCCTTTAACAAATATTGACCTGTCCTTTACTGTTATATTTCAAAATGTGAGTAAATCAAAATAAGATGTGTTTTATGGAACTCTCTTGTTTTATTATCTGTCATTTAATTTTTAATACCTAAGTGACACCTGATATATTACCTAATCAAAAGAAGAGAATTATACATTGCACATAATCAGTTATTTTTGCCATATCACCGAAATTAGACTAACAGATGAGGAAAATAAATAAGATGAACTTTAAAAATGAAAATGCTTAGCCTTTGGAATTTTAGTTGACAGCTTTTGAAAATTAAATTATAAGTCAAGTCCTGATAGGTTTGATATCTTCTTTGCAGTTTTGCCGATGATGTATTGCAGCTTTAATGGAATATCATTTATCATCTGATAATAACAAATGTAGTATTTCTGAGCTTGTCATCTCTTCTGTGATGACAAATAGTCCAACTTGTAGCGGTGATAATGGAATTTTATAATGATCTGTCCTAAACTGACTCAACTGCAGCCGAGCTATTTTTCTTAAATCTCATAATGCCTATTATATGTAGATTACAACAGTCAGCACCTCCCATCTAAGCGCGGTCATGGATCAATGAATCCAGATTTTAGGCAAACAGCCCAAAAGGATCGAACCATATTTACTTGTTTATCAAGATTATTCCTGTTAGGCTAATAAGAGAGCTTGTCAGAGGCTGTCGGAAATGGCAAACTATAAAATTTATAGGATAAAATAGGTGATGAAAACGCTGTTTATCTCTTAAACAGTAGGCAGTTTATCCAGTTTGCAATTCTACTTGTCCAATCCATCATTTCTTAGGGGTTTATTTAATGAAGGCCTTGTGCCAAGAAACACGAGTTAGAGAGCCCAGTCACTCTTCCACTTTATCTTGAAGCAGGATTTATTTTATGTCTTAACTCCTGGCTTGTAAGATAGCGTTGCCTTGTTGCACCTGTACATTATACAGTCCAAATCACTTGCTCTCTTGACACTTTTCTGAAACTTGCAAAAAGCCTGCAGTGTCACAAAAAAAACCTAGATTTTAAGGCTGTGAGCATACTGAAATATCTCATTGTATACGTGGACATGACTATGGCAGCCGTTATGCTCTGAAGGTCACCTTCTGGGAAGGACATAAACTCTTCCCTTTCTAATTCATGAGGTTGCTTCTGCTACAGTAAAAACATCCCAATTTGCCCAGGACTGAAGGGTTTCCTAAGGTCAGAAGACTTTCAGTGCTAAAACCAGGACAGTCCTGGACAAATTGGTACCTGGGTCAACCTGTCTCTAAACAGGTGATTAAAATTCAGTCACCGAGAGTAGCTTTTCCGATAATAGTGCTCAGGAATGTATGTATATTATTCTTTTTTCCAAATGTCAGATAATGGAGTATTTGGTATTTCATTAATACTTCTGAATTTTGCCTGAAGGATATTTATGAAGAACTAGCCAACTATAAATCCTTGCAACTTTTCTCAAAAATGTACAGGTAAGTAAAGACAATGCCCTAAGTCAAAAAAAATATTTTTATTGCATGGAAAACAATCAGTTTCCTAAATAAACCAAAGTAAGATTTAAAAACAAAAGCTATACACAGCACAGCTCACACCTGTAATCTCAGCACTTTGGAAAGCTGAGTTGGGAAGATTGACCCCAGGAGTTCAAGACTAGCTTGGACAACATAGTGGAACCCCATCTCTACAAATTTTTTTAATAGCCAGGCATGATGGCACATGTCTGTAATCCCAGTAACTCAGGAGGCTGAGGTGGGAAAATGGCTTGAGCCCAGGAGTCCAAGGCTGCAGTGAGCCATGATCATGCCACTGTACTCCAGCCTGGATGACAGAGTGAGACATTGTCTCAAAACAAATAAACAAAAACAACCAGGCAATATGCGTGTATTTTAAATGTGCTTTTTATAATAAATTTAAAGTCCTTATTGATATGGCTACTGTGTTTAAGAAATTACAAACTCCTCAGCAAAAATTCCAGAAACAGCAAAAGAAAAAGAAAAGAAGAAACTTGGAAATCCTGAGCAGTGATGTGATAATTTCATTTAGAAGACAGTTATGGTCTTGCGAATTGAGGACTGAACAACTTTTGTATTCTTTTTTATGATGAAATCAAGATGTCCCCATCAATAGGGAGGTTGGAATCAGTAGCATCGCCTGTTATACCCAGCTGTGTTGACACAGTCTAGAGGAATAACATGGCATCACTAGACAATATGAACTATTTGGGGAGATTCCTAATTAGGTCCACAGCAACAATCATTGTCAGTATCTTATTAGAGAAGTGATAGTACTTCAGTAATCAGCTGGAAAGAAAAAGGAGGATGTTTATGGTCCACCAACATTTAGATCTCTTCAAAGAATCCCAGGGTGAATCCTGATCTCCCACAGTTTCATAATCACCCAGTATGGCTGGCTTATGTATGGCAGATTCTACCTGTCCAGTAAGTCAGATGTGGGGGATTA